GTAAAGAGTTGGCAGAAGATGCCTAATGTTGCTGGGCAGTATGGCGTTATAAGTCTACAGTAGGCTGCAGTTCATTTTTTTAAGAAAAATACTGTATAATCAAGAAGACTCAAGCAGCTAAACGAGTAACAAAAATCACATCTGAGAAATATAGAACATCAAAGAGTTCATAATGGAACCTGAAATGGATCTGACGACAGAAGAATGCCATGAACTCTTGAATGAAGAACACCAAGAAACTCGGCGAGATATGTTTTCTTCTGAAAAAGAGGATTAATGCCGATATCTGTTATTAAAGATCCTTTGAAGAAGTGTGAGGATGTCAGAACAACAGTCTTAGAATGGCATCCAAACCAGGTTGAGGCTTGGGGATTTCTACAATTGCAATGCTGTTAATTACTTATGAAAAATCCTGAAGAAGAGAGAAAACCAATCGACATTAGACAGATTCTTTAACCTTTTCAAATGGAAAAAACATGACTAATAAAAACGCAAGACTGTGTATTTATGTATTTTTATTATTACATATAAATAAATGTAAGAAAGTATATATTTTTTATTTTTGGGGGTCTCCAGAACGAATTAATTAAATTCCCATTAAAACCTATGGTAAATCGATAATTGGTTAACAAACAATTCGGATAGCGAACAAAGTGTTGAAATGGATTATGTTCATTAACCGATCACCCACTGTAATCTTCTGTGGAGCTGCTCAGTTCAAAATTATCATTCTAATCTCAAATTTATAGTTAATAAGTAAAAGTTAATAACAAATTCAATAAATAAAATTAACAATAAAAATAAAATCAATTCTACATAAAGAATGCAATACTCTCCAAGTATGATTTTTTTTACAACTTTACACATATGCAACAACTTTTCTCTCTTCCAGCTGTTTCTGCAGATCTTTGTAATAATAAAATGCCATAATTTTATCTTTTCCTCTATAAGAACTTTCTGGAGCTATTATTGGAATAAACTTTTAAATTTGTTCATATCAATAGTGAAGAAGTTAAATTTTGTATTATTATGTCAAGAAGGCTCATTCTTCTTGGTTGAATGATCCTGACACCTTAAAATCATTATTATTTAGCAAAAACATCATATGTTAAGTAAAAGTATTTTTTAAAACATAGATTGGCTTAGAGATATTTATTGGAGAGGCAAAAATTATATAAATAATACTATATTCAACTCACAAATAATAAATAGAAGTAAATATGTCTGGCAATAGTTTTGTTAATCTAACATGAAACAACAAGGCATGTTTTCTCAGGTCAAACAGACTTCATATAAAAAAGTTAAATGATTTTAGAGCTCTCTTTGATGTTGTAGAAAAAAAATATAAATTATATAAAGCAGCCTATCATCCACACAAACAAAATCAAAACACAATCCATGAATTATAATCAAGAAATTTTGGTAATTTGTTATTTGTTCAGTAATAAAAACTAATATTGACCTAGATACAATAAATACATATATATTGTGATAGTTTGTTCATCCTTATATTTATTCAGAATGTAATAACAAAAATTTTATTTATAAATTTCATTATTAATGTTTATATCAAAATTTCTTCTATCTGTTCACTTTATTTTCTACTTAGGATTCATCTTAAAGCAAATTATGCATTACAAATAATTTAAATTATCAAAGTTGTTTTTCATTAATTATATTATCAACATAATTAATGCAATAAATTCAATAATAATGAAATTATAATGTAATCAATTAATATTGTATTTGAAACCAAATTTATTTTTTAAATAACATTAAAAATTTATTATTATAAATTTACCATGAAATGCATTATAGAAAACTGCTCTGCTATTCTCATGGGAACTAGAACCACCAATATCCCATAATTCAAGAAAATATGTTTTCTGTGAAGGAGTACCTTCTTTATATTCATGAAGCTATATATTTATATATAAAATAATAAAAAACATTTTAATATACTAGTATTTTAAATGAAAATTTACTTTTATATATATACACACACACTGTATTAATTTATATAAAACTGAATAAGAAAATTATAAATATATTTGTTATTAATTAATAATGAAATATTGAAAATACAAATAATTTAAATAAATATGAATAAAAACAAGGATTATTCAATTTAAACTCTTTTGAACTATTGAAAAAAGTTTTCAAATAACTAGCACATTTTATATTGCTTAGTTATCTGCATTACCTTACAATGCATAATGTACATAATGTGTATATACAATGGTTTTAATAAACTTTTAAGGAGCCTTTTCTATTCTTTAATTCCATTTTAGAACCTGAAGAAAACCATTGTGCATGGTTGAAAATGTTTGTTCTGATAATAAATGTTCTATTTTAACTAAATTTAAAGTTTTTTTTATATTAATTTTAGTTAGTACAGCCACTTTTTGGAATTTTTTCATTTTTTCAGTTTAAAACAGTGGACAAACTGAAATCTGCAATTATCAGTATTTGAGAAGAAATTGCACATCAAATGTTACAAAATCTGATAAAGACAATGCCAAATAAAAGAATTAATGTTCTTAAAAAAATGAAAATAGCTTTGGTTATTAAAAATATATACAGTATATAACAGAATAAATAAAGTGGATTTATATTTATGCAATACTACAAAATTATATTTTTGCTATTTCTTTTAAATGCTTATTTTTAAACACTAAAACTGATATAAAACAATTGGTAATACANCCTGGACACAGCTTTTCTTTGGGCATTGTTTTACATTTCAATATAACGTAAGGTCGAAGCTTTTGTCCGTCAGCAGTAACAACAAGCATAACAGTAATTCTGAACTTTTCATAACCAGCTGACTTCAATAAGACCGTTTTTCACCTTTCTTATTTACCGTAAGGTCAGAAGGCATGTCAAAATAGTGTGGTGTTTGGTCTGAATTTCCCATATTTCCAAGACTGTACTTGTGCTTTTTGCGTAATGATATAACATGGCGCTGACAAGCCAACAATTTTTCATTAAAGTCGTCAGGAAGTTTTTGCGTGAGAGTTGTCTGCCGTCATAGTGATAAACCGTTCCTTTTCATCATTCTTCTACACCAACCCATACTTGCCTTAAAGTCCTTTCTAGGAATGTTTAAATTAGCAGCCTCTTCTAACACTTTAAATCTTATGACTTCACTGGATATTGGGCACCCTTCATTTCGCTTTTCTATTACGAATTTTAACACTCGCTGCTCAACTTCATTAAACCTTCCTTTTTAGGTCCACTAAAAGATTTTCTTGAAGAATTTGCATTCTTCGTTTGCAACCATAATTTTAAAATTCATACCGTAGGTTCTCCTGGTACCTTTATTTATTTGACTCTTTGATGAGCCTTTTTTCTCAACACTACCTTTATTACTCGCACTCATGTTTTATGGGCAATAAAGAAAAAAGTAAAGTAACCGTCGCTAGTCACTAGAGCAAAAAAAACAAATGAAACAAAACAGTTGCGTGAGACATTAACAAGCAGAGACATAACCTTACTATAGTAGTGCTATGCAAACAAAAGCGCAGGCCTACTAACTAGATCACATGATTGTTTTGAAGTAGTCGGTCGAGCTAGGAATTGGTCGGACGTTCAGTCGCATTTCAACCTCTGTAGGAAAATGTCCTTGTTTATATTACATTCCATTATTTAAACCCCGAATTTAACGCGAGTCGATTTTTTAACGGAAAATAAATGATTGAAAAATATCGCGTAATATTCGGGCTAATACGGTAGTAATTCAGTCTCAAAATTTAAAAAAATAAGATTTGTTACATTTTAAAAAATCTCAATGTTTCATTTTCACTTTTTTCATTTTATTTTATTATACATTTTAACACTAATTAATTCATTATTTTTCTCATATATTAAAAGAATAAAAGTCTACAAAAATAGATAATATTTAAAACACTTATTAGTAATCTGCTCATAAAAAAAGGTATAAAAACTTATTTTTTTTTCAGTAAACAGATATTATACTTTAACTATTATTTTATTAAAATAATATTTAACAATCTTAAAATTTCGATTATTATTAAATTATGAAATATTAAAAATTAAGACAAACATTTTCATTTTTATTTGTTTCTATTGATACTTTTATACTTGATTTAGGATTTATATTTATCAGGTTAATGTGATGTTGTGTTGTTATAACTGCATTTTAATAGAGAATGTAATTTATACATTCAAGTATAAAAATATCCAGTAGAATAAATATAAATTAATACACAACCATCAACCATAATAATCAGGCAGATTACAATATTTATTGGGTTAATGCAGGGGTCGGAATTAGTGGCTCGCGAACCGCATGTGGCTCTTTGCACAGATGTTTGCGGCTCTTCGAACACAAACTCCAGTTTCACCACACCTCATTTCACCGCAACTTATGAATTTATGAGATAGAGCCACCGAACAAACTTTGACTCGTACGGCATACTCTCTACCACTCTTTAGCCTGTCCGCACATGACCACACTCGCGTTGATCAATATGAGTCGCATGCGAGTGGCAGCATTTGAAGCATATCTATATACAGTCGACCCCCCTATAACACTGTTGATAATTCCGTTTTATACGAATTCCATGTTATACGAGTCACTTAGATTTTACAAATACATGTGCAGGGCTGTGAACAGCTCACATATTTGTAAAATCTAAGTGACTCGTAAAACATGGAATTCATATAAAGCGGAATTATCAACAGTGTTATAGGGGTGGGTCGACTGTATACATAACCCATTGAACGCGTGTCCGTCCGTGTAATGTTATGCCAAAATCGGCCACTACAGGCACCCCTGTTGTGTATCGTATTTTGCACATTTAAATTAACAGTAGTAAATAAATTATTATTATTCATTTGGCCAATAGCCAATAACAATATAAATAATTCAGTATATTTGTAATAGGAATTTATTATTGTCATGAAATGCCAGTAACGTGCACTAGGAAACATCTCCCTGGGGCACATTATATATATGCAGCTCTCTGGTACTTTTTTTATACTGTTTCCATGACAATTTGGCTCTTCTCACTTGACAAACTGCCGACCCCTGGGTTAATGTAATGTGTTGTTGTTACATATATACCATACCAGGTATTGTGACGCCCTTCTGAGCTCCACATTGAATAGGCTGTGGGCATTGAATACATCCCCAGGTGGTGCCTTGGAAAACCGTTGGATGGTTGTATCTAAAAGTTTAAAAGTGAGAAGTCGTTTAGAAGTCCAGGTGGCGTAACTGGTCAGCGCACCAGACAGTAAGTAGAGGTTGCAGGTTCGACTCCCACTGGACATTGAGCCAATTCTTTTCTTCCAGACTACACTAAATTTAAAAATCTAAAATCATAGTTACTACTTTCATCAATAGTTGGCACCTAATACCTTATCATATCATTTCCAAATTTAATATTTGTTGCTTGTAATCTGCCCAATTATTACGGTTGATGGTTGATTGTGTATTAATTTAAATGCAATTATGTTGTAAAGTCTTATCACTATAGTTGCATTGTGCATTTTATAAAAAGTACAAAAACTAAATATTTTAAAAAATATACCTTCCATTTCCACTTTTCTTATCATTGTCTTTAGATAATAATTCAGCTAACCATTTTCTCAAATTTTGATGAGATTTTCTATTTGTCAAATCATGGACTAAAATAATTCCTATGAAAGGACAATATAACATCAATCAATACTATAGAAAATAAAATTTTACATAGTATATATTATTTCAATATTTGATATTTCATTTATATATATATATATATTGGTTAAAAAAATTATTATTAATTTATCAAATAAGTACCTTTTATTTTTTAGCCTTCATAAATGAAAAATTTTATTCTATACTAGAAGGAAAACACATTTCTATATAAGAATGACACACATCATCATAAAAGGCTGCTAACTTAGCACAATCTTGAAATTTATCAGTAAATAGGAAGTGTAATTTTAATTCAAGATTAATTAAGTTTATCAAAATGTACAATAACCCATAGTCTAATTATTGACTGGACTATTTTCATCATGACAACAATTAAGATGTATGATTATATGATTTAATTTAATATAGGATTACTAAAATAGCTTTCCTTTAATTTGCAAAAAATCAACACAAGAAAAACACAGTTCATGTAATTCATGATACTAGGCAGTTTGTTTAAAATGTAAACACTATTGAACTAAGATAATTATTTAAAAAGCACTTCCATTCAAATACAACTTGAGCTTCTTCAGTTTATATTGCTTTAAAACAAATGAATTCAAATTCAAATGATTGGGTTGGAATGGTTCAAATGTTCAAAAACATCATATTTCTGCATAAACAATGTGATTTCATATATTTGATATTTTAAGGATGGAAACAATACACATGTTAGATGTTTTAATACATAACTCCTCTGTCAAGAATAAAATTCTTTGATTTTATGGTGTACATAAAAGCTTCACTTTGTCCCATTTTGATTGGAAATTTTCATCTAAAGATGTCATTTTTCTTTGGTATTTTATATCTCTTGATGCTCTGTAATATGCTTATTCAAATTTCTTTCACTTCTCCAGCATATATTTAAGTATTGCTTTACCAACAATTCCAATAATTTCTATTCTTTCATGAAACACACAATAAAATCTTTTGTTGATGAAGTACAGGTTTTGATATGGAAGCATAGGTTCCCTAGAAGATAGTAATGATTAGATCACTTAATGTTGCAGTACATATTTTTCATCACATGTCAGTAGTCTATCCAAAAAACAGCTCCTATGTTGAAAAAGAAGAGATAAACAAATTGAAAATTTCTAAAATTTGTTTTCTGCTGTGGGTTCATGTGGAAACCATTTGCTTAATTTATTATTTTTCCCAGCCAATTCAAGTGCAGATAAAAGATTTGGTGTGAGTTATGAAAACATTCCGCAAGCT